CAGACGATAATAAACTCAACTTACTAGCCTAAAATCTCCGTAGCGTGTTGCCAGGCGGCAGAAAGCATATATATAATTATAATAAAGTTACAATAAATTAAGTTAATATATAATTATATATACAGTACCTAATTTATATATAATTAATATATAATTATATGTACAGTACCTAATTTATATATAATACTAAACAGACGATAGCAAACTCAATTTAGCCGCTCCGTAGCGTGGCGCAGGGTCGGAGGAAAGTAGTTCGGCTGCTCATCCACTATTGGTCCAGACTCTATCAATCTTGTCGCGAAACGACGTTATAGGAGGTACGTTATACGAAAGTTGCTACAATTTTTTCGCTACGTTATAGGAATTGTCGTTATAGGAACATACGTTATAGGGGGATCGACTGTAAATGGTTACAAGAAGATATTTGAAACAGTTTACTCTGACATGAAAAAAAGAAGGGCATGTTCCTGAAATGGAAAGGAACTATCAGAAATTTAGGGAAAACAATTTTTTCAATTAATAATTTTTTTAAATTTAAACTATGGGCACTTTCAGGATCTTTGATAATGTTTATTCAGCCAGATGGTTAGAGATGGGAACCTGACAGATCAACCAGTTCCATGAAAATTCCTGAGTCTACTGGACTTGAACACATGCCAAAATTAATTATAGATGTAATAATTCAATATTCAGATAAGCCAAAACAACTTTACTATATCTGAATCTGAACATTAAATTATTACATCGATTACTAGCAGTTTAATCAAATTATAAATTAGCTGATTTAGGATTTGAGAGTGGACCATTTCTTCACTTCTTCGAAGGATCTGAGACAGTGGATTTTCAATTCTACTGAAAAAATAGTTAAGGATCTATGTAATTTAAAAAGTTAAGAAGACGTAAATATTATTTGTGATGCTTCAGATCAGATCTGCAACTATGAAAAACTGAATTCTTTTAACATTGGCTGTATTTATGTAGGGTGATTTAATTGTAGATAATACATGCATGATGATTGGTTCATAAATGCAAATATGTGATGTCTGTTTGATGTTAACTTTACCGGTTATATATAAACAGAGGAAAAGTATGTAAATCAGTCAAACAAATAACTTCTCAAGATTTTTGGATTAGGGACTTTGAAATGTCAAGAAACACACAAAAAGAAAAATATGGCAACTTTTTCCATATGTATGGATGTTTGTGTGTGTGTGGGAGGACAGTATGATTTCATTCACCCACTTTGAAATTTAACTCCTGTGTCTTTTGTTGAAAATTTCTGAAGTTTTGCAGGGAGGTTTGTGTATTGAGGCGATTAGTACTAATGAACTTTGATGGTAAAAGGTCAAGAGGATGGAGAGAAAGAAGGGGTCATGTCATATCTCAAAACTCATTTGACTTGAAACATGATAAAATCATTACTTTTGATATTTATTGCTTTTCATATATTTTGCCTTACATTTAATGGATAAGAAGAGGGTTTTTCATACTATTTTGTTTATATTATAATTTTTCAACTTCTCTAACAAGAAAATTCAATTTCAAAAAGTTGCTCAGTTTTATAATATATAATTTAACATGTAGTTATGAAACTAAAACCATTGAAAATAATATTAGTCAAAAGAATACGAAAACTTACATCTTTTCTGTTAATACCATTGTAATCAATGCATTATTAATGCCAAAATGGAAACAAATTTGTGAACATAAAGTGGTCTTTACTTGATTTTACATTTAAGTTTTGATTCTAAATTTATTTGTCACATTATTTTAAGATAATTAAGAACAGTTTATAATGATGAATTATTATAGTAAAATGTTACATATAGACTTATAAAAAATGTAAATTGTTTGATGTAAACAAATTTTGAGACTATTTACTACATTGAACTAATAGAAATGCAGTCAAAACAAGGAGAAACAATGATTTATGTGGCTTGACAAATTAAGTGATACATCTTTCTTCTAAATAATACATTAAACTTAATTTTCGATTTCACATTTGTTACTTACATTGTTATTAACATATTCATTATTTACTTAGGTTGTTACTTTAAAAGAAGCAAAATTATTATTAAAAGAAGATGATGATCTTATTATTGCTGTATATGACTATTGGTTAAATAAAAGACTGAAAACTGTAAGTATTATATTTTTTAAAAATTAGATTGATTTAAAGTAATAGATACATTAAGTTGCAAAATTAATTTCAATCCAATTTTAACATTAATATTTAGTAATTTTTAATATAAAAAAATTATTATTAAATCTCTGAACAATTCACTTCTCAGTTTAAATCTTTTATTTCCAAATTATCTGAATAAATTGACTTTTTCCTATGTAATGTGCATATGAAAAATTTTGTTCAATATAAATTTCGAATTAATAAGTGACATTTAAATAGACTAACTCATTTGTTCATTTTAGTTATTTAAAAAATTTTTAATGTTCTATTGATTCTAGCAAAAGTTTTAATAAATATGTTTCAAATAGCAAATTCTAGCAATATGTTTAGTAAATATATAGCTATTGCCACATTATGTAATATAATAAAATGTTTAAATTGTTTAGATAAAGTATAACATGCATTTTTTTTCTTTTTGTTCTTGATCCTTTATTTAAATTTCTATTTAAAATCTTTTTACTTAAATTTTTTATTAATTTTAGAATAAAAAATTCTTTTAAAATTTAAAAAAAAATTTAATTTTAAAAGTCAGTGAAAGTTTAAAAGTTATTACGGTAAAATGTCGGTATAATGAACACCAGTTTAATGAAATTTTCAGTATAACAAATTTATCTTGAATCAGGTGCCAATTTCGAATTTAGCTCAATGCAAAAATGTTTCAGTTTAACTAATACCATTATAATAAAAATTCTGTCCATTACAAAAGAAAAGTTTCATTATATCAAAATCTAGAAATGTAAATCAGTCATTTTTTAGTAAATGATGAATGTTATGTCAGTCTGGAAATACTTGTTTTAATGTCTCATTCAACTGGCAACACTAATTTTAATCCTTAGTTATGGTTTTATTTTGATGCTGTTACTCTACAGTTATTTCTTTTTAAGTTTACGAGAAAAAATGGAGGGGGAGAAAGAAGTACAGTAGAGCGTCGATATTCCGAATCAATTGGGGACTGGGGTTGTCCCGATAACTGATATTTCGGATAACTGATTTTAGTACGAAAAAATAGTTTAATGTATCCAATGTCGAAATTTTTCTCCGTTGCATGTTGCTTCGCGTTGAATTTTCGTCGATGTTAAGCCTAACAAAGACTATTGTATCGTTAAAAATTATTTTTTTATTGTGTACAAACAAAATAAATATATTGAAAAATATAAAAATAATAAAAAATTATACTTCAGATGTTAATTTAGTATCAAAAACGTAAAATATTTGAGTAGCCCAAGACATAGCCAAAGATTGAAGCTCCACAGCACTGGCGAAAATGTCATATTTGACAGCATGTTCCTAGATCCCATCTGATATTTCAGAATGTACTAAAAGAAAAAAGAATATGTATTTCTTCATGTGCTTCCATTTTGTAATTGACAATGAAAATGTCCTATTTTCATTAAGGGATGAGATTACATCATCTCTTTCTGATAGATGGGCTGGAAATTCACACAATCATTTAGTGCATACCCAACATAGTATGTATTAGCAAAAGGTTTACAGAGTTATTAGTTTTTGAAATAATTGACTAGGGAGAGATTTTTGTTACCACCATGTATAGTAAAAACCTTGTTTTAGTTTTTAATTCTTTAGATAATCTAATGTACAGTAATAATGGACATGTAATAATCTATGGACNTCCGTTGCATGTCGCTTCGCGTTGAATTTTCGTCGATGTTAAGCCTAACAAAGACTATTGTATCGTTAAAAATTATTTTTTTATTTTGTACAAACAAAATAAATATATTGAAAAATATAAAAATAATAAAAAATTATACTTCAGATGTTAATTTAGTATCAAAAACATAAAATATTTGAGTAGCCCAAGACATAGCCAAAGATTGAAGCGCCACAGCATTGGCGAAAATTTAAATTTGCCGACTGGAATTCTTTCGGATGATTGACTTTCGGAAAATCATCGCTCTACTGTAATTTTCTTTGGAAGAGAATAAAAAAAAATATTAGATAATATACAAAAATGGAATTAAACAAAAAGATAGGCCTGACAGCCTACTGGAATGCTATGCCACAGTATAGGATTTTATCAAAAATACTTTGATTAAACAAACAGCATAAACAAAAATTAAGCTTTTAGCTGAAAATAACTGCTTCAAGCAGAAATTACAATTATAGAGGCATAATTCCAACTAATCAGTACTGCTGTATCATTATTTTAATTGTTTGCTCAAGATATTTTTCATAAATTTTTTTATTATACTATAAATTTTTATTATGTATTTAATATAACTTAATAAAATTTGGTTCCATATAAATACTAATAGATAAATTGTGTAACTCTCCAAAACTGGGATAAGATAAACTCACACAACCAAACCAATACCAGTAACTATGTAATTAATAAATAAAGAAATATTTACTAATGTTTTTGTCAATTTAAAATAGACATCATGCATGAACTTGTGAATGCTCTCTCATATATACCTCACTAGATGACGTGGATACAAGTTTATATTAATCAAAATTTAAATTAAATCTGTTATTTGTGTCAAAATAATTATTTGTTAATTAATTTATATCATTTTAAATTTATTTTAATTTAAGTATGTAATGTTTATGGGAGATTGTTTAAAAATATTAAAGAATCATTTATAAAATTTGTTTAAATATATATATGTATGTTCAGGATATAATTTTAAAACATATAGTAACGTATATAATTTAAAATTGTAGGCGTACTTTGTTCCATTGACTATTTTAATTCGAAAATGTAAATTTCTTGTATAACACATTCGATTTTAATGTAGCTGTTTTGTTCTGTGTATGTATGTGTGTTTGGTTGTGTGATAAATTGTGTTTTTAAAAATTCTTTTCCAAAATGTAAGCAATTCTTTTGTTATGAATAAATTTATTTTAATTTTTGACTATTTAAAAAGAACAAAATTTTAGTATAATGAAAATATTTCTATGGTTCACACAATTTTGTTATACCAATATTTTANTTGATACTAAATTAACATCTGAAGTATAATTTTTTATTGTTTTTATATTTTTCAATATATTTATTTTGTTTGTACAAAATAAAAAAATAATTTTTAACGATACAATAGTCTTTGTTAGGCTTAACATCGACGAAAATTCAATGCAAAGCGACACGCAACAGATAAAAATTTTAACATTGGATACGTTAAACTATTTTTTCGTACATAAATTGGTTATCTGAAATATCAGTTATACGAACAACCCCAGTCCCCAATTGATTCGGAAAATCGGCGCTCTACTATAATAATTTTTATCAGGTTTTATTAATTTTATTTTTACATGAACACAAACATTAAAGTAAAACAATATATACATGATTTAAATACATAAATATAGTTTTATAATTTGATGAAATAAACAGTTTTATTCCTATTGGAAATTTAACTTGGAAATTTTCAAATTTGTGAAATATTGTACAATTTTGTTAATATTAATTTTGCCACAAATGATACTTTTAATTGAAATAATCTTCTTCTTCTTTAATGCTGCCGAATGGCGTTTGCGACTTCATTTTGATATTGTTCTCTGTCTAGCACTGTGTGTAGAACTTGTGCTGTTGTCATGTGAAACCAGGTGTTGATGTTATCTAGCCAGGCCGTTTCTGGTCTACCTGGACGTTTCTTGCCTTCAATCCTGCCCTCCAGGATGAGTGGCAGTAGATGGTATTTTTGGTAGTTCCTAACAATGTGGCCTAGGTATTTGCATTTCCTGCTGATGATGGTTTTGATCAGGTCCCGGTCCGTGTGCATGTACTGCAAGACCTGTGCATTGGTTATCTTTTCCGCCCATGGAATTTTCAGCATTCTTCGGTAGAGCCACATTTCGAAGGCCTGGAGCTTTTTTGTAGTGGCTGCTGTTAGAGTCCAAGTTTCTACACCATAGAGTAGAATTGGCCAGATGTAGCATTTCAATGTGCGTAATTTGAGCATGATATTCAAGCTTCTGTCGGTAAGGAGTGTTTTCCATTTGAAATAATAGATAAATTAATTAATCTTTCTTGATTCTGGATAGATCTTAATGATTATTATTAATTTTGATTTGGAGAATGATTGTTCTCCAGTAGTCACTGTTGGTTATGTTAAAAGTATTCTAAACACTGTTGTTATATTAGGAAAAGTTACTACTAAGTCATTTTTTCATAAATACTTAAGAACTTTTGGAGAAATTTCTTTTCATAAGAAATTTAAATTAATTTATAAATAAACTGACACAAAATAAAAATTAAAGAACAATTTTAAATTACATAATGTATAAAGTTAGAAAAATAAAAAAAAGTAGATGGCTAGATTATGCTACCCCTTCAGACATGATGCCCTAGGTGGCATATCACTTCGGCTCTAGTTGGTGCAAGCCCTACAAGCATCCCTTGCATTATGTGATTACATTAGACCCCCCTATAACGCTTAGATACGTTCCACGCTAACCGAAAATTACGTTGTAGGAATGAGCCAATCGCAGCCCGATAGGTGGGAACTTTACGGACTAAGGCTGTTCGAAAGGTTTTCTTCTATAAAATTAACCGATTCTAGACTAATTCCACTCAACATTTCCAAAATACGTATAATTTTTTGGGAATAATCTGTATAAACTATGCTATAAACAAAAAATTGTAGGATTACTTACACCGTTCGACTACGCCGTTGCTTAAAGCTGGTTTTCATCGCGGAACAGCACGCGAAACGACGGCCGCAATTTCTGATAACGAATTTTTGGCGGAAAAATAACTTGACCTTTGGAGACATCATTAATATAAATAATTTTTATGGACGTTGAATAAGAAGTGTTTCTTTCACAAGAAATGTATAAAATTAGTGCTGTATTAGACTTACGGTACCTAATTTACATACTGTGCAGACGATAATAAACTCAACTTACTAGCCTAAAATCTCCGTAGCGTGTTGCCAGGCGGCAGAAAGCATATATATAATTATAATAAAGTTACAATAAATTAAGTTAATATATAA